GTCATTTTCCCAAAATGTTAATTTGAGGAATTTTTTTCTTGAAATTTTACCATATTTTTTAATTGTTTTAATATTATTTTTGAGATTATGCTGATGGATCTACTTCATTCTCTTATGATTTTTTCCCATTAGTCAGCATCGTTCTGATTTAATAAAAAACTGATTTTATTATGTCTGAGTTTTTTATTCATAAATTACATATATATTAATATTCTATTATATTGATATTAATTGATGTGGAAGATTTTCAAATGCATAGATTAATGACGTATGACACTAAAGCCCTTTTTTTTATAAAATATAAATTCTATTCAATTGAAGTCAAATCAAAAGATAATGACAGGACTAATTTCCATCATCCAATTCCTCCTTCTACTGAACAAGAGGTGGAGGTTGATCAAGAGTACAAAAATTTCTCTCTAAATAGTGTGAAGTGTGATTAATCTGAACTTGCCAATCCCTATGGAAAACCATCATACTGTCCTTTATTATATCCCTAAAAGGATGAGAAAAATCACAGCATCAAAGTTAATGGCTTCAATACAATCAGGGTAAAAAAAAAAAATTCCTAAAACACCTTTGCCTAATAAAGATTCAACCCATGAATAATGCCAATTAATTCTGCCGCTGTTGGCGGCATGTTGATGAGGTTGCATTTGAATCCCATTATCCAGTTGCCCTTATTGTCCCAAATTGCTCCTCCACAGCCACTACCACCATTAGATAAGACTGATCCATCTACTTCCAACTTCATAGCATCTTCCCGATCCCTGCCATCGTTATGTAATTGACCCTTGTATTGCTATAAAAGTCATAGTTGAGCATTGTATCATGATCCCAACTGGCCCTGTAAAAGCTGGAGTTAGGATTCTAGTTCGCTTCTGTAAAGGATGGATCAACGACTTTGTTAAACCGCGACACCCAAATATCCCAACATACATAACCAAATAGACAAACCCATTGGATTTTTTGTGTGTAATCCTGTCCTACTTCCTTTTTCAAATTCCACCTAATCTATTTAGAACCATTTAAGCTGTTGAATTTTTCCCAATCAACATTTGAAACCACATTCTGCCAATGACATCGTGCATTAGAGCAATCTCTAAGAAGTTACATGCTTGTTTCTTCCTTTTCACAACCAAGAGGACACATAGCTATATTTGTTATTCCGCTTTGTTTCCTGAGTTTTGCTGCGTGTATTCTTTCATGTGCAAAGAGCACATGAAGGTCTTGATTTTTTCTGAAACTTGCCACCTTCAAATTGACTTCCACAAGATGTCTCCCTGGTGTTGAGTACCTGCAGAAAGAAAAGAATAGTTAGAATTCACAGTAAAGCTACTATCCAAGGATTGTATCCAAGAGTATTTATCCTCTCCTCTCTCCTCACCCAGGGGGGTGAGCGCACATAAGTTTCTCAACAATGTTAGGGGTAAACCAATACCTGAGTTCCTTCCAGTCCCATTCTCCCCAAGACGTCACATAATCTGCCACTTTCTCATTCATATTAACTTGTGCTTCCTGTCCTCGAATCAAATCAATCAGTGAGGTATTCAACACAGACCAGTTGTCAAACCAAAACGAGGTACTCTCCCCATTACCAATCTTCATACTGAGGCCCTCGCTGAAACAATCCCAAAGATGACATACAGCCCTCCAGGTACGTAGGAGACGCATTAGCACGTTTCTTTGCAAAGTGTTTGTTTTCTCAAGTTTTTGAGACCCAATCCACCAGCTTTCTTGTCTATGGTTACTTGTTTGCAGGAAATAAGATGTAGCTTCTTGTCTCCCTCCACTTCTCCTTCCCCCAAAAAAGCTCATGCTAGTCTTCTCTAAAACTTCAATCAACCTCTTTGGAAGGAGAAGAGTTTGCATATGGTAGGAAGGTGAGGCAGAAAGATCCCAAAGCTTTTCACAAATAGTGTTGTTATCGTTCTATGAGGAAAATGGGGAGTCATTAGACTTTATTAATAATTAGCATATGAATAGGGATTATTTGAGTTTATTTTTATTTTCTCAGTGAATATGAAGTAACGTCTGTGGGCTTGGAAATTTTCTAAATTTAAATAAGGTGGCTGATTGTAATGTTGAATTTTGTAACAAAAAAAAAATATATTGAGTTTTTCACAAACATGCGTATATTTTCTAGCACATAAAATTAAAATTTTAAAAGGAACTCACATCTTTTTTCTTTTTCTTTTTTTTTTCCTTTTGGGGCTAAATACAGGTAGCATATTCAAGGGATTGTTGGTACTAAATATAGATACTTCTTTCTATAAGAACCTAAACCGTGATTCTTCAAATTGTGAACATTATCTATTTAAAATGAAGGTTGGAAGCAGGTCATACGGCATGCCGCGTTAAAAGTCTAAGAAGAAATAATTTCTAATAAGCATATGAAATATTAAATTAATTTTTTTTAAAAATACACACCCGCTCTCTGTGTTATTACTGTAACTTTGTGGATTAATGAAATAATTTCAAATAAGCATCTAAAATATCAAATTCAGAAATTCTCAAATATTTTAAATATTCTCTCTCTCTCTTTTATTATTAACTAGAGCATAATCCATGCAAATGCTTTTAATCTTCATGCATCATCCTCCTATTTTTCAGTTTGATTTTAGCTTTAATTTCCGCCCTCAATTTTATTGTTTCTTCTTTTAAAAAAAAACTCATATTGGTTGTGAAAAATGTTTATAAATAGAATGTGAATAAAATTAATTTAATTAAAAGTCTAAAAGTATTTTTGTGTGAAATTTTTACATTATCTTTATTAGTGTTATCTCATGTCTTACTGATTTTTTTTGCCAACTCTTGCAGGATTAGTTACAATTAAAATTGTCAAACTCATAAGTTTAAGTAAACTTGTGATAGACATAAACTCGTATTGTAGACTCATCAGAGTTTATCAACTCACCTTTATCAATAAATAATTATTAAAAATATATGATTAAATGATTAAAATATAAAAAATGGCAACGATTTGATTAAATATATTTGAAATTTAAGTCATTGAAAAGCATTTTGATAAAAATTGATGATATTATAAAAGCAAAAAAAATTCAAAATGAAAATTTAATAGGGAAATCACAGAAAATGATTCCTTTTAAAAATAAAGAAATATCATGAGAAAGTATCAAATCATTAAAATTAAATCCATCAATATTGTGCTCGACATAGAAATTTCTATGAAATTCAAAGTTGTATTAATATTACTTTTTGTCTTTTAATTTTTATTTTTTAGATTGGGCCTTCCCACACATTCTATAAATCAAATTCTACTCAATATATGTTTGACTCACTCAACTTTTAAAAAGGTAAATTCGGGGAGTTACTTCATGAATTTAGCTGAGTTTATAGCTATTAAAGTTTAAGAGCAAATTAACACGATTTTGTAACATAGAAACATAAAAATGTTAAATCCGAACAGTCAATACACAAGTTTTACAATTGTGGTTACAACAAGAAAAAGAGAGTTCATTTTTTTCCCAACAAAAGATAGTTCATTTTCATTATCTTCAATTATGTTTGATAACAACTATGTCATATAATCATGACTCAACAATATATATTTTATTTTTTCAAAAAAAGAAAAATAAACTAGTTCTCATGTGTGTGTGTATAATTGTTTTCATGGGTAAATAATTCAAATCGTAACATAAGCATTATATTTTAAAATTTATTTAATATACATCTCCATTAAATACGCTTTTTGGGAATCCTAATATAACTTCAACCATAAATTATATTTAAATTGATCTTAAATTCAATATGATATAGTATGAAATTTGCTCATCTAATTTCTGCATTTAGTTCTCGCTTTTTCTTTTTATGCAAAGGACATGTCTTGGGCCTTAAAAATTCTTGAATTTTAATTAGTTACATCAGTTCTTAAGGATTATCGACTAATTAATTTTCATTATCAATTCAAAATACATATTATTTTCTAAAGAATCACAGAAGAATTCAAAAGAAAATAAAAAAATTAATCAAACCTGAAAATGAATAATAATAAAAGTCTTGAAATATTATTTTTTATAAGGGTGTCAGATAAGAATACTCTCAAAAATAATGATAACATAACTTAAATACAAATTTTATCGTCAACAGAAAAATCTTTGGGTCACATTATGTTCGGCCCTTTTTCTAACTGTATCCGGGTAATCAACTAATCGAGACTGAGATTTTGCAATCAGATCCTTCTTTTTAGGATTGTTTTTACCCGTTTGCCTGCTTTGTGATCTAACTAATTTACCATTAATTGTGATACTCTCTATATATAAGCGGATCAATTTCTGGATTGTGAGAACGAAGAATTGCTCTCAGCATCTCCTATTGCAGTAATTAATAGGTAAGCATAGAAAACACTTCTCTCTTAACCCTGTGCACATTGATTCAATCATATTTATGCTGGTTTCATATCTTCTTATGCTTCTTTGATGAGTATGTTTCTTGAAGGCTTTTCGATGAGTATTATAATGTTTTTATATTTAGGACCGGAGGAGTATTTGTTTGATGAGAAGCCCAAAAAAAAGTGATATACACAACGAAAACATCTTGTTTCTCTCTCTCTCTTTTTCCTTTTCCTTTTTAAGGCATTAAGTTTAATGTTTAAATTTCCAATGTTATGTTTCGGCATAAAAATTATTTTCTATATTTATAGTCCTTTTCTATATGCTGGGAGAACTTGAATCCTTGCTTACCATACCCAATCCTGTCCTCATCATCCGGGCAGTGGCTTCATGTTGATAGTTTTCTTAGATTATTAGAGATTGTATATGCTAATTGAACATATTAATTAACCATATCAAATTTTAAAAATTTAAATTTATTCCGACGGTAACAACTCAATGAATTGAAATATTAAATCATGAACCCTATAACTTGATTTGAATTATACAGAAGGATATTCATTGATAATAATGGCGATATTTTATCCATATTCCCAACTATTTATTTATGAAAAACTTATGATTATGTATGCTGCAGATCAAGGTTAGATGGCACTACCCGAAGATGTGATATATGAAATATTTTCATGGTTACCTGCAAAATCAATCTTCAAGTTTAAGTCATGTTCCAAATCTTTATCCAGTTTCACAAGCAATGCAAATTTTGCATTTAAGCAAGCTCAAAACATGATGCTAAAAGGAGACTGTTCCCTTTTCATTGAAGGAATATTTATTTCTAGAGAATACCCTCACACACAGCGTCAAAAAACAGAGATGCACAGATTACCTGGAAATAAGACATCATCTTCTTTGGGTATTCCCAAAGCGTTTCTTCAATTTCTTGATGAAAGGTCAATAAGAATCGTTGCTTCTAGCAATGGGCTGCTACTTTGCTTGATCTTACCAGAACTAGTATTATTTATATGTAACCCTGCAACACACTCTTGCTTCACCATTGCTTCCCCAGCATGCTTATTGCTCAAACATTGTTATTACCGAGTACTCGAATTTGCCTTTGTGTGGAACCATAATACTGAGGAGTTTCAATTAATTTATTTTGACAAAAATCCACGCCAAGGGGCATCAACGGAATTTGTGTGCAAAGTTTATATGCCAAAAGAAGTTGTGTGGAAAGAGAGAGGAAGCTTATCTATGGATGATGGTGAGAGTCTGATTTATGGCTCCCATGTGTTTTACAAAGGGAATATTTACTTTGCCTCATATCGGGATAACTCCGATCATACTGAAAAATATCATTATATGTCATCATACAACTTTGAAACTGGAGTGACAAAAAGGGTTAATTTTCCAGAAGAACTTGCGAAAATTGGGTACGAGCTCAGCACTTACAAGTATGAGATATGTATTTTCAAGTGGGGTAAGGCTGGAACCTCAAATGCTGAGTCTATTTGTGTGGTGCATTTACTGGGTCGTACTGTTTTTACTATATGGGTTTTGACAGATTTAGAATCGGCTTCTTGGTCAATGTTCTTGTCGTCTTCAAGTTTAGATGAGATGGGATTGGAGATTGATTCTTATGTTGATGAGTTTACAATAATGAATGGAGATTCTTTAGTGATTGTTTTAAGGAGCGGGGATGTGTATGTGTATGATTTGATTGGGGCAAGAGGAAAAAGACTTGAAAAGATTGGTGAATTGGAAGTTAACGAATATATGAGTTTAATTCCTTATTCTAATACTCTTCGCTCATGTGGAGCTGGGGCCAAAGGTTTCGTGTATGAAACATGAGAAATGAGCAATAAGCTGGGTAAGTGTTGAACCTTGAGCAAATAGTTATAGTTGAGTTTGATATCAAACTTTTTTATATATGTTCAAGCAATATTATTATAGAATTATTGTTTTTGATTGATTACAGGTGCAATCATAAGAAGCCTTCCTCGATCAAGATAGGAACGTCAAGAGTCCAATTCCATTATTGAAATGGGTTGAAGTGCAAATCTACCAATAGTGTATTTTTTTCATGGATATTTAACGCTATAAACTTTTTTTAGATACAAATATACATAAAATTTTTAAAATAGTGCAAAAATATCATGGTCATTAAGTCAATTAATGTTGACCGTTAGCAAATATTTAGGTCAAGAAAATGGTGCAAGAATCCACATGAAGTTTTGCACTATTTTGAAGATTTTATTTGTATTTTTGCAATATTTTCTTGATTGGCATGTTTGTTAAAAGCTCAACATTAGTTGACTTAATGTAATATTTTTGCACCATTTTAAAAATTTCATGCGTACTATTACACCTAAAAAAAATTCACAGTGAAATACTTCATGGATTAATTTACATTTTAACCTCATTAAAATTCCTCCCCTCTTCAAGATGTTCAATTATTGATGAAGAAAATGGCACCAGTGTTATGAAAGCTAGGGAAAGGAGAATATCCCATTAGTTTTATGGACTTAAATTCTAGTTTTTTTTAATTTGATTAAAATTTTGCTGCGACTATACAGTAGGATTGAATATTTCAAAAGAAACACGTACTTTTTTTGTTTGTGTTTTTACTTATGATTGGAATAAATAACAAAGTGGCCGAAGAAAAAGTATCATAAAATTTTCTTGGAAACAGCTGCGTCAAGATGGTAAAATATAATAACAAAAATAATCATATAGCCTTATATCATATATGGATTAAAATAAAAGAACACATATGGCCTACAAAAAATAATGGAATTTCAAATAAGCAGTAAAGAAAACTTCAACTGCAGCTAAATTTTTATACTCAATTATTCCTAATATCTCGTAACCAACAAAATTATTCATAATACCTAGAAGTTCAAATATAAAGGGAATGAATACAAAATTTGGATTTACTTTCCAAGACTAGCAAATTTAAAACAAAGAAAACTAATGGAATGATCTTTTGGCAAAAATGAAGTTAATATTCACACAAACATACGGCAAAGGTGGGAAATAAAGAGCATCATTCCATGATCGTCATTGATTGTTCTGCTTTTTAAAGCACACCTGTGCCGACAAATCGAGTTGTTGTCTTCTTCCTCATTGATGTCTCGGGCACTGTATTTTGGTATGATTTATTTTGTATATTCTTATAGATGTCTTCTACCCATTGATGTTTGTCAAGAAATCATCAATACTATATTTCTCATTTGTTGGGGACTTTTCACAGTAAATATCTTGAAAAGAAACTGCTTTTATTTTTTGACATTGACACAGTTTTATATATAAGATTTGTTCTGCTTTGAAATAAACTAGCATGCACTGAGAATCTAAGGAAATTTCTTGATTGATGCTGCTTGACAGGTTTTGTGTAATGTAAATTATCTACTGTTGCAATTGACCCGGACTGTACGCCAAAAAATTGATATTATTCTAGGACAACTTTTATTATATCTTAGATGGTTACTAGCTTCAAATTGCACGAAATTTCTTACTTGCCTCATTGCTTCAGTCTAGGTAAGACCGGACCAAGCTAACATAGTTTGATATCCAAGGCTTTAGTCTAGGTAAGGCCACTCATTCTCAACTCATCAACGGGCCACGTTAGGACTCTCAGCTTTGAATACCAGATATAGGATAACTAGAAAGATTGTCACTAAACACTCCTTCATAGATCGTGGTCAGATTCTATTTTCTGATGCACAGGATCCTCTCAAAGAGGCAAGTGTAGAGCATACTTAGAATCTCTGGCGACAGAAGAAAGACATTATAAGTGAGGCTTTCAGAAGAAGAGAGAAATTTAAAGAGAACTCATGAGGGAAGTACACTAGTATTATACAAGGAAGTCGATACAACTCCTTTTGTCCGTAACTAATGGCAGAGTGGGGTTTATATAGAGGCTCGGAGCCATTACATGACAAAATCCTAATAGTACACATCATTATGACGGGTATATGTAATAGTAGATGTCATTATGACCTGACATTTAATAATGACAACCACCCACAACTACCAACTATTATCATAATAATACCTAATAATGACAACCACTCCACTTATTACAAGAGAACAAAATAGACTACAGGACAAACTACTTTAATAAAGTAAAAGTAGAGGACGACATAAAGTAGGAATCTGGCGGGTACCGCTTTATCTTCATAGCATCTTAAAAGGAGATTTTCTGATGATGGTGTTCCCTAGTCTTTATAGATAGGTTCATGACTAGGGGATAGGTTCATGATGCCTTCTTGGTCAGGGTCATCTAAGTCATAGTGTCTCCTTGTGCAGTAGGAGTCTTCGAGTTCTGGGTCAAGGTCATCTTGGTTGGGATCCTGGGATTCTCCTGCAAGGAATGGGAGTTGTGACTGGAAACTTGGCTGAGGGAGATAGAGTCCTTCAGGCTGAGTGAGTTGAATCTGTGAGTCTCCTTCATAAGGGTCTTGGGAGGCTCTTGTCTGTGGAGGGACTTGTGACCTATTTGGTGGAGGTCTGACAGCACTCATGATGAAGTCTCTCTGGAATTCTTCAAGTGTTGTGCTGCTGGCTGACGGTGAACTTGGACGAAAAGGTCCAAGAGAAAGACATGAAGTGTCTTCTCCCGTGTCAGGCTAGTTAAGTGCAGTTAATGTCTTCCCAATTTTCTCAATTAACAATGCTTCATTTCTTGGCCATGAGGGGGTGGTGACTTGGAGGATTAGACGATTGTCTGTATAAAGTCTCTGGTCAGCACTTATACCATAGTTCTTGAAAAAGGTAGACAGACAAAAAAATCCCTTTTGTTTGGGAGTTGGTAAGTCCCAGATATTATGTTCCTTAAGAATTTTCCAAAGTTTTCCTCTCCAGTAGGGAAGAGGAGTAAGCATCTCAAAGAGTGTGGTAAGGGGAGAATTTTTATTTCTAAAGTCATTCAGGTGATCATGTACGACTATGGCTGAGAAAGCTATGGCACAAGTATAATTGGCTGAGACAGACCAGATGTACCATAAAAGGTCCTCTGGTATGGGTCCTTTGATGATAGGAATAGTGAGGTATGGAGCATCGGCATCAAAGTGCTGAGGGTAAGGGTGGATTCCAGTATCTACAAGAACACTGTGGAGCCAGTAGAACATAGTGCTTCTGGCAAGGTTTTGGACATCTGCTGGAGATTCAGGATGGGATCCAGGAGGGAAAATGGTGGCTCACATTCTGCGGGGCATTTCTGGTTCAGAGATGGTTAGAATGAAGAGGGGTTGATGTTTGGAGAGTGACAGGAGTTTTGGAGGCTGGGAAACTTTATGAGGTCTTGTGAGGAAATCTACTATGATGTTCTAGTGGCCTTTGAGATGATGGACAGTGAATTTATAGTGAGAGAACCAGTCTTTCCATCAGAGTAACTGACTATCTGGCAAAGTCTTTTCCTTGGGATTAAGCATTCTGGGAAAAGACGTATTGTCCATTTCTACTCTGAATTGATAAGGAATGAGATGAAAATTGAACTTCTCGATTCCTCTTTTGACTGTAAGGATCTCTTTGTAGGTAGCATGGTAATGCTTTTCCGACTCCTTGAATTGTCCGCTTGCATGTCCATAGTAGAATCTCTTTCCATCTATTTCTTCAATTAAGACAGCTCCCCAAAAGTCATCACTGGCATCAGTCTGGAGGATTCGTAGCCCTCTGTCAGGAATCTTTAAAGGAGGTGGTTACTGTGCAATTCTTTTGAGAGTCTTAATAGCTGAGGTCTGGTCTGTTCCCTATGCGGGAGGATTCTTTTTGAGAAGTTTGGACAGCTGGCTGGTATGATTAGACACATGAGGGATAAAATCCCTAAGATAATTAATAATCCCCAGAAATTGTTGGATTTGCTTTGCTGTCAGATTATCATCTGGGAATTTGAGCAATTCTTCTACAATATGTGGTCCAGGATAATACTAGACATTTTCAAAATTCATTCTAAGAAACTCTATGCTTTTGACACCTATTTTTTCTTTTTTTGCCGACAACATAATCCCATATTTTTTAATTATTTCCCCAAACTGGGTTAATAAAAGTTTATGGGAATCCTCGTCTTTTGAGAAAAGCAAAAGGTCATCAATATAAATGAGGAGGTTATCAAGCATTGGTTCAAAGATTCTGGTCATGGCCTTTTGGAACAGTGATGGGGCTACTTTGAGCCCAAATGGCATAATAGTCCATTGGTATTGGGCATTTGGAATACAAAAAGCAGTTTTGGATCGATCTTCTGGGTGGATACCTAATTGCCAAAATCCTGCTTTAAGGTCAAACTTGGAAAAGATTTTTGTATCTCTAAGATGGACTGTAAGTGAACTAGGCTTTAGTAAAAGGAATTTGTCATCTTAAAGAAAAATATTAAGGGGTTTATAGTCAATGACTAACATTTTCTTCCCTCTTTTGATTTCTGATCTTTTTTCAATATAGAATGCCTGGCAAGCCCAATCAAATTTTGTTGGTTCAATGAGGCCTTGTTTGAGTAGGGCAGTATATTCCTCTTTAGTGAGCTTGAAATCTTCTGGATTCATTCCTGGATGAGAGGCTTTTGTAGGATTGATATCCTCATTTTTCTTGAAGGGGAGTTTTATAAAAAACTCTTGATTTTTCCATAATGGAAATGGATGAGAGAACTGTTGATGACTATCAGCGCAAAACTTGAGAAGATGATCTTGGATACCTTCATATCCTGGTGGTGCTTGTTGGATTTCAAAGAGATTAGGAATTTCAGTATATGCACTAAAGAAATTTTTATACCTAATTCCTTTAGGCAGTACTTGAAGATTCCTAGTATGATAATAAGCATCAAATCCAATAAGAATATCTTTCCTAGGGAGATCACT